AGCATTTTCGGCCATTATCGAATCGGAAAAAAGATTAATCGAAATGCATGTAAATTGACGGGGCATCATATACTTGTTTTATATTGTTACTTTTTTTCATGAAAAAATGGTTCTTTAGTATATTTTTTATTTCAGTATAATTCAAATGAATAATTAGGTGCTAAAAGAACTATACTTTCATGGCTAAAGTAACAACTTAAAGTTAGGTATCTATTCCTTTTTTCAACATTATTTTTTCTCCCTAATCTGTACTCTCTTTTTTTTCTCATACAATTAATTAATATCGATCATGTTGGAGAAAAAGGGTAAAATAGTCATTATGTTGATATATCTTGTCGGAGGCTAATTTATCCAAATCCTCCATGGGGGAACAAAAGGGTAAAATAGTTAATATAAGTTAGATTTGATGGGAGGATTTAATGTATTGTAGCTATGGATTCAATAGTGAATTTGGACATTAAATTAAATTCAATAACAATCCAATAATTATATAATATATTAAGTTCTCAAATAAAATGCTTAATTGAAATATTAGTAACATTATTGATAATTAAGTAGTAGCCTCACCCGGTTCACGGAGGAGAGGAAGTTCCCTAGTGATGCTGACCCGGAATTGGACTCGGAGTCGGACTCGGACTCTGGTAGTATTGCAAAGCACTGAATGCAGTCTGAGATATAGTGAGACCGAAAAGAACGCCGGCGGCGATGACGGAAATTAGAGTCCATGGATTCGTGAAGTAGGTATGACAGAGATTGGCGCGCCACCTATGCCACTTCTGCTCGCAGTATTCCTTGACCTGCGAATGCACAGAGCCCAGCCCACTCTTCTGATCGATCGTCAACTCCTTCGAGATGGTGTTGAACAGATTGGCCGCACCTTTGTCACTTCCGATGAAATTATGGACGATCTTTTTGGACTGCAGGAGCCTGACGTCAGCGGCGGTGTCAATGAGGTTGTCCATGAACCAGATGAATGACGTCACCTCGTTTCCGGCGCCGACATGACACCGTTCAAAAGCGATCATGTTCAGAAACGTCGATTCAGTTGTATCGTCGATGACGAAGGAGGGGAGTTTCAGGACTCCTTTTTTGAATGAGATGCCGTTAAGGCTGTCGCTTTCTTTATTCTCGAATCGGACACCGGCTTCGAACAGCTCCGTTGCCGAGCGCGTGATTAGTTTCGCATTGTCTTTTCTCGGCTTTGTGCAACAATATTTTCTGTCGGAGCCGGAGCCGGAGCCGGTGCCGGTGCCGGAGCCGGAGCCGGGGTCTTTACCTAGTCGGCATTTCCGAAATATATCAAGTACGTGCAAGCATTGTCCCCATTTTGGTGAATATTTGTCACGAGTCTCGGAACAACAGAAATCGAGTATCAGGTTGTTGATGGACTCCTCATCTTCCTACATGAATTGAGGGTAATGTTAATTGAGGAATGATATTTGGATTAAATTAACCTAATGTGTTATTTCTGTTGGAAATTTTATCAAATATTAAAACTTAAATGTTAATTTAACGGTTACAATAACATTATATAATTAAGTCATCATTATATTATCAATAATTATAACTATAATTATAATAAATTACATAATTTGGTCATCATTACATTATCAATAATTATAATTATAATAATTTTATTAGACTATATCATTGTTATATAATTAGATCAAACTTATTTTGTTGTGCTTATTGTGTTCTTCTGGGTTCACATTATTACGTGATATATTTTGAGATCCATGTCGCCTATTTTTTTAACTAATTTTATTTAACTAAAGAAAAATAAATCTTAATCATGAGCACATGGAAGTATAATGATAGTATACGCTTGAAAAACAAAAATTTCATTAACTATTTTCCACAAAAAAAAAATATTTGATGTAGTCCATTGATCTTCTTTCAATATGGTGTGTTTAATGGGTTAAAAAAATTGATTTTAGGAGATGCTGTATTTCCTAAATAAGTTAGTCAATAATTCAAGACACAATATTAAAAAATAAATAGTTTAAAAGAACTGTAGCACGAGAGGTATAATTCAAGAAATTTAAGTGTAATTCACTCAATAAATAACTGATAATGTGACAATATTATTTAATAAATTTTTTTACCTAATAGTATGTCAAGTGATAAAATTCTATTATTTAATCAATAAATTAAGTGAGATTTTTTATATCAACGGCATTATTAACATCCCCATCATATTACTATTACCCTATTAAAACCCATGAATTTTAAAAAAAAATTGGATTTACCTTTTTACCACTGATATCTAGAAGCTTGTCAAGAACAAGCATGGGCAGTTGATTTTCCAGCACCAACATGTCCCGCTTGATAAACGGCATCATATAGACCTTCCCGTGATTTCCGAAAATGGGATCGTCGGCGTCATAATCGGCCGGAGTTTTAGTGACTGCCCGAAAAATTTCCAGCATGAAACAGCCATCAACAATCATCAGCTTCAAGAAGCCTTCGTTGTCAGTTTGCCACTTAGAATCAAGTGAATCATATGAATCTTTCAACTCTTTTTCCACTTGGGCGAAGGAATCGAAGATGATTTTGAGAGGAACTTTAGTTCTCTGAAGAAAATGAAGAAGAGAACGCTCCTTGTGATACTCCATTGGTTTCAAATGAACCTTACCGTGATGGTAAGGGCCAAATGACACTGTTTGAGGACTGTAGACCTTCTTGTTTTGGCGTGCAATGAAGGGTGGTACTCTGTAGATAGAGTGTTTCTTGGGGGATGAACTTGAAGAAGCATTGCCCATCATTTCGAGTTTATCGTCAACCTCAACCACCCAGCTGCTCATTTTTCTCTCTCCTTGCTCCTCAGGTTTCTTCCTCATGAGGAGGTCCATCTCTACGGAAGTACTGTCGATTATTTCGAGTTCATCGTCAGTATCAAGCTAACAACTCATTTTTCTCTATGCTTGGCAGCTTGCTCTCCAGGTTTTTTAGTTTGCTAGCTCTACAGCTTCCACCTCAAAGGTTATATATATATATATATATACACTAGAAAATGATATCTACAGGCAAAATTGTTTACATTTAATTATGCTTAGATTCTACAATAACGATCTCATGTATTAGGTATGTCTTTTTTTTTTTAACACGACAACTTACAAAAATTATGATGTCATGTTAACGTCACATAATTTGATTTTACCGTAAGAGTAATGTTAGATGGACTTAAAAACTAAACTTAATAATCTCAACCATTGAATAGGTAGTGAATCCCAATAAATGCTAAGACCCACAGTGAAATCAATGGTTGAAATTATCAAATCTAATTTTTAAGTCTACTTTTTAAATCCATGTAGCGTTGCTCTCTTCAATAGATTTTTTCTGTACTAAGAATAAGTAAACTCAAAATAATTTATATTACGCTGTGCTTTGTGCATAACACGTACAACTTAAATTACAGTGAGCCTTGTGCCTAACAAGTTTCGCGGTAACCCGGGGCTGCAAATTCGTCATCTTTATATATATGTGAGTGTGTGTGTTTGTTAAGTATATGAATATTTATGCTACACGTTTTCTTTTTTTTTTTTTAAATTGAAACGATAAAATTTTTGTTAAGAAGTTAAATTTAAGAGAAGAGATGGTATCAGAAAATCTGGTGTCATTTCTTCCCAAACATTAATATTTTCATCTAATCTGGCATTTTGAGCCAGTTGGTGAGTCACACGACTTCTTGATCATCTAACAGTGGACAAAGAATAAAAAATAAATAGACGAAAAAACTGTTACACATCTGCAATAATAGTGTCAATAGGAGAAGAATTTTCAGAATTATCGCCAACCCTCTTTATGATTATAAAAGAATCCCCTTCCAACACAATCTCATCACACCCAATTTGTCTAGCAAAAAACACAGTTTCTCTTGCAGCCATAGACTCTATAGTTTACGCTTCTCCCAAACCAATTAACTTCTTAGACAATCTAGCAACGAACAACTCAACTTTATCTCGAATAACCTCCCTTAGCCCCAATAACACCCTCTCTGTCAAACACTCCTCCATCAAAGTTAACCTTAAAAGATTTAGATCTTGAAGGAAGCCCACGTTTTGGTGCACTTTTCTGGAGAGCACCTTGACCAGAATCCAAGGCTTGGTCATACCGCGAAATAAACTCCATTGCCATATAACAATACTGTTGGACCAAAATAGTTACACAAAATAGTTTCTTAAGTGTAAAATTTGAACTTTTGGTCGACTTTGAACTTAAATTAAAATGGGAACCGATCGTTTTTTCGAGTAAACTTTCTTGGGTTCATATATTTACTCTTTGAGGAGAATAATGTAGTATATTCAGTTGCTCAAATTGAGTAAGAAATGAATGAGAAAATATGTTCTAAAGTGACCATCTTGAAATGTGAAAATAAAAGTGTGCAATGTGAAATTTGACACCAATTTCACATTGGTTGAGAAAGAAATTCTACATGGGTATATATAAACCAAGTTTGCTCTATGAGATTGGATCTTAAGAAGTACCACAGTTTTATGAGTGGAATGAGCACCTACATGCCTTCAATTCTACCACACACATGCACCGCTTACCCGCCACGACTAGACCCGGCCGAGTGTGGGTCCAACCTTATCTTTTTGGAGAAAATTTGTTTAATTAATTGGGCGTGAATTTCTTAACTCGAAATTAAATTTTGGTATCCATTGGATTGCACTGGTTCGAATTTTTGTTTCCCTCTAGTCCAAAAATTGAGTTGTGTTTGTTCGTACAAAACAATTACACAAGTGGTGTCTATTGGTTGTTGCATTTGTCTTCTGGGTTGTGTGTTTTAGTATGGTGGCTGTCCAAAAAGTCACCAAAGTATCCATAAATTCTCAAGCTCATTACCATTCTATTTTTATTCATTCATCAGTTCATTTTCGGTATTAAGACAGACATTATTACATTGTATTTTGGCATTAAGACAGTCTGCATTTTGGAGAGTACACAATATAGTTTCTGGTTCGCTAGACAAGTAAATTAGAGTGCTACTTTTACTTTTACTCCATTGGTTTCAAATCAACCTTACCGTGATGGTAAGGGCCAAATGACACTGTTTGAGGACTGTAGACCTTCTTGTTTTGGCGTGCAATGAAGGGTGGTACTCTGTAGATAGAGTGTTTCTTGGGGGATGAACTTGAAGAAGCATTGCCCATCATTTCGAGTTTATCGTCAACCTCAACCACCCAGCTCATTTTTCTATCTTCTTGCTCCTCAGGCTTCTTCCTCTTGAGGAGGTTCATCTCTACGGAAGTACTGTCGATGATTTCGAGTTCATCGTCAGTATCAAGCCAACAACTCATTTTCTCTATGCTTGGCAGCTTGCTCTCCAGGTTTTTTAGTTTGCTAGCTCTACAGCTTCCACCTCAAAGGTTATATATATAGATAATAGAAAATGCTTAAAATTTTGTAAATCTAATTAGGCTTAGATTCTACAATAACGATCTCGTGTACTAAGCATGTCTTTTTTTTTTTTTAACACGAAAACTTACAAAAAGTATGATGTCATGTCAACATCAGATAATTTGATTTTAACGTAAATATTTTGTGTCTTGCAATAAAGGTGCAAACACAATTTCTTCCAATTTCATGTTTCTAGGATGCTTTTCTTTTTTCCTTCTACAGCTTAGAAAGTGGCTTTAAACATGTGTCTCACATTGGATTCATATTCCCATAGAACATAAATAAATCAATTACCCTTTGGGTTATATGGATAATGTTGTTCCATAGTCTGAGGAAACCTAGATCTTGAATAGGTTCATGTTTTAAAGAAGATCAATGGTAGGCATATAATAAAGTGTTCATTCGTATAAAAAGTGCACAGAGAGTAGAGGCATCATATACTAAATTTGTTTTATATTTTTACTTTAACCAAGGAAGTATGGTTTCTTTGTACCAGGAACAAGTAAGCTCAAAATAACTTACATTACACTGTGCTTTGTGCATAACACGTACAACTTAACTCACACTGAGCCTTGTGCCTAACAAGTTTCGCGGTAACATGGGGCTGCAAATTCTTCATCTTTATATGTATGTGAGTGTGTACGTGTTTGTCAAGTATATGAATATTTGTGTTACACTTTTTTTAACAACTTAAAATTTTAGACGTGTTAGAGATCTCCGGTCTTTACTCCTTTTGAATTTATATTTAAATTTGGATAAAAATTACTAAAAATCTTTTTCATTGTTATATACAAACCCATACCAAATTAAGGAAGAACCTAATTTTTATTCAAATTAAGAGAGACTCAATCATTACTCAAATCACCAATGATTAAATTTTATTATGTTTTAAAGATGTAATGATCATATTTTATTTTTCTTTAAATATGAATTTGTCTTCCATTAAATTAGGGTTTGCCCTATTTTAATTTTGAATTTCTCCTTTAGAGCGTTTTTATATAAAATCAAGTTTTTTACTCAATTTTGAGTGAAAGTTAAAATAATGGTAATGAGTTAATTTAATATTATAATTAAGCCAAAATATAGCTGCACATGAGGAGTACTTGATGTATACAAAGATTGATGAAACATTCTCTCTAAATACTTAAATTTTTATAGGAAAAATCATTAATAAGTCCTGTCATTCTCCAAAAAAAATTAAATCCTATCCTATCCTATTTACCTTAAGACAATTAAGTCCAACTTTTAAGTGTTTATTCATAAGAAGTCCTAAACTCCATTAATGCTTTATTTTCTTCCAATTTTATCCTTCTCATGAACACAAATTATATTTTTGTTTGTAATTTTGTATTTAATTTCATTTATTGGAGTTTTATTTTGTATCTTTAATTAAAATCATAGTAAGTTATACCTTTATTATCAAAGCTCCCACTCTATTGACATGTAATAGTTCATATGGGAGTGAATCCTACATAATATAAAAGTCATAATATACATAAATATTTTTTTATTTTATCTCTTAAATACAATGTCGTAACTTCAAATGCTTAATTTTTTTTTGTATGTCTTAAAATAGTAATTTTTTTTCTAATTAATTCAATATGTGAAAGGAGAAGTAAAAAGAGTGTAATTTGATGAACTTTTCGCAATGACGGTATTAAAAATTAGTTTTTGTATGTCTTTATTGTTCAGATTTGATAATTACGTAAGTCGAAATTCATATACCTAAAAAAGATAGAGTTGTATAATTTATCATTTTTATAAGTCGCCATTGTTAATTAAGTGTTTCTGGTGTTATATATACACTATTTAAAAAAAATTAATTTGCTTTGGGGCACTAATAACATATTATTATTGATAAAAATATAATTGGTGTGTCGATGGAAAAGGTAAAATTGAAATAAAACATACTATTGATGAAATTTAGAACTTCTTACGAATAAATTATAAAAAATAAGACTTAATTGTCCTAAAATAAGTATGATAGGATTTAATATATTTTTTGGAGGAAAAATAAGACCTATTGACTGCGTTGTGTGATGAACACAGATCAAGTAAAATAGTTAGCAAATGCACCAGCTTGAAATTGCCAATTATAACAGATCAATTATATGTTCAAAAAAACAAAAAAGGATTGTTATGCAAGTCGCAACTCATGCTTTACAATTCTTACATTCAAGAATAACAATGATTTTAAAAAACGTCGGGTCATAATAGATTTAATTTTCATGAATATCCTAATTCCGATATAAATTGATCAAACCAAAGTGAAGATTAATTGAGGTGAATAAACTGACTCTGACACCTCTAATGGTCTGCCTTTACTAACTCTACGCTTCCAGCTTATGTTGTCATGTCGACATCACATTATTTGATTGCAACGTAAATCTTGTGTCTCTTGCGACAAAGATGTAGACACAGTTTCCTCAAATTCCAAGTTTCTAGGATGCTTTTCTTTTTCCTTCTACAGCTTAGCCAGTGACTTTAAACATGTGTCTCACGTTGGATTCATATTCCAAAAAAAAAAAAATCAATTTAGCCTTTGGGTTATATGGATAATGTTGGTCCATAGTCTGAGGAAACCTAGATCTTGAATAAGTTCATGGTATAAAGCAATGACCAATGATAGAGATTAATATAGACATATAATAAAGTGTTCATTCGGATAAAAAGTGCAGACAGAGAAGAGGCCTCATCATATACTTTAACTTGTTTTATATTTTTACTTTAACCATGAAAGTCTGGTTCTTCTGTCCTAGGAACAAGTAAGCTCAAAACTGATAGCTTATATTACACTGTGCTTTGTACATTGCACACGTACAACTTAAATTAAACTGAGCCTTGTGCCTAACAAGTTTAGATGTACCCCAGGGCTGCAAATTCTTCATCTTTATATATATGTGGAGTTTGTGTGTGTATTTGTGAAGTATACAAATATTTATATTACATTTTTTTTAACAACCTCAAATTTTAGACATGTTAGAGCATCTTCAGCCTTTACCGGATCGAAGAAAGGATTAGTCATTGTGCGTGTAAATTGATCCGGGCATTTCTGACCATTAAACCAAAAAGAAAAACAAACAATGATTTTAAATTTCTTCACTGGCTCAGCAAGTGATTCATAAATTTCAATTGCTTTACAAGCTTAGCAAGTGACTTTAAAAATGTGACACACGTTTGACTGATATTCCAAAAATGTAAATCAATTAGAGATTAATTAATATAGACGCATACAATAAAGTATACATTAGGGAAAAAAATGTCCTCAAAAGAGGCATCATATACTTAACTTGTCTTAAATAGTTAATTTTTCCATAAAAAGATAGTTCTTTAGTATATTCTTCATCTCAGTATAATCCAAAGGTATGGATGTTGTGTATAGATTTCTAAAATATAAGGAGAACAAGTGTCAGTTTCTCAAACCAGATGAAGGTAAAGTATAATATAACCCACCATCAACCCCCGAAAAAAAAGCATCTAAGAAGTTGGAGTGTAGGAAATCTTGCTTGCATTGTACGCTTTATTCAGAAGAGTAAAGCTACTTGGATTTTGATCTACTTTCTTTGTAAACTTGCCGTTAGAAGGGTAGAGAGCTAGCTAGCTAGCAAGCTAAGAAATTAACCTGAAGGACAGAGAAAATGGAGGAATGGGCAATTCAGGTTGAATATGAAGCAAGACACAGGATGCCTGGTTCAACTTCAAGAGAGCTGGACCTCCGTAGGCGACTATGCATCTACAGAGTACCAGCCTTCATTGCAGATCAAAACTACAAAGCCTACAGACTGCAAACAGTGTCATTCGGCCCTTACCAATGGAGTATCACAAGAGACGTTCTCTCAATTATTTCCTTCAGAGGACACAAACAACTCTAAAAACCATTGTCGATTCCTTCGCCCAAGTGGAAGAAGGGTTGAAAAATTCATATGATTCACTTGATTCTAAGTGGCAGAGTGGAAAAGATGGGTTCTTGGAGCGGATGATTATTGATGGCTGTTTCATGCTGGAAAATTTCCGGGCCCTTGACACTCCGGACTATTATGACGCCAAGGATCCTACTTTCGGCAATCACGGGAAGCTCTATTTCTGGCCGTTTATCAGACGGGAAATGTTGCTGCTTGAAAATCAACTGCCCATGCTTGTTCTTGAAATGCTTCTAGAAATCACCGGGAGATTCGACGATGCCACGATAAATCCTTTTTTTTTTTTTCCAGCCTTTCAGTAACGGGTAGTTTGAAAATTTCCAACCTAGGTTTTCCATGCATTTATGGGTAATACAGTTTGACAAGTCCTGTTCAAAAAAAAAAAAGTTTGACAAGTAGTATAATAATAACTGCTACTATTATTCCAATTTTTGACGTGGTTCATTTCATTTTTAAGAAAAGGATTATTTCAACCTAATTAGTTGACTTAAGTGCATTACAATTATTAAATTGAGAGTAAATTTTAGGGTAAATTGTACTGGAGGTCCTTAAAGTATAGAGTTTATCTCATTTTAATCATCAACATTTCAATCGCATCATTTTGGTCCCTCGAGTATTGAATATGTTTTTATGTGATCGCTTGAGCAGGCAATATCAAAATTTTTAACAATTTTTTATCATAAGCTTATCACGTGATATCTAAATATAGACAAAAAAATAACTTGGATAGCTTTTAACTAAAATTTGAATAACTTATGATCAAAATTGTATAATTTGAGTATCTTTTTGACAAAAATTTGATTAAAAATTTGATCAATAGTTATTTAAATTATTTTTTTTGTCCATATTTAGGTATTAAGTAACATTTTTATAATAAAAATTTTTTGGGGTTTTATTCTTAAAATGGATTTGGTTCTTTGATCAGGTTTATTAGGCTAGCGTTCACTGCGAAAGGGTCTAAGTTCACTACGAAAGGGTCAGAGTTCACATCTTCTAGCAGTAAGAATACTCATTTTGACTCTCCAATTTTGACTGAATTTTTTCTCTTTTTATTTCACGCCCTGAATTTATTTCACTTTCAGGCAGTTTTCAACGAGTTCCTCCAGTGGCTGTTCTGGCTCTTCTCAATCATCAGTGCACGGTAAGTTTATTTCTAATATTCTGAGATTGCCTTTTGTAAAGAGTCTTCCATAACCAGGCTTTTGTAGAGGGTGATATAGCTGCCAGTAAAGCACTTGGGACACTCCTCGTGTGGAAGATGACCACAACTAGATATTGCAACCAGTCTCTGCACAACAACAAATCATTGCACAATTAGATGAAAGTTCAGTTTCATTTTCTTCACTCAATAAAACATAGTTTTAAAACTCAGCCCGGACACCAACCCGGAGAAGGGATCAGGTCAATGGATTTCTGGTTCAACCACTGGGTCACTAGTCGAACCGGTGATATAATAAAAAAATAAAAAATAATTATTAATTATGATAAATAGACTAAAAAATTAAAATAGTTATAAAAATAACATGTTTAATATATATTAAATCAAACAAAGTTATCAAGCTTGAATCACTTAATTGCATTCAATTAACAAACCAATGCATTCAATTAACAGCCCAGCCTCCGCCCTCAAACTTGAATCACTTAATTGCATTCACTTAATTTTTGAGTTAACAAACACTGAACGAATGATTTAGGATTTAGGGCAAAACAGAAGGGGAAAAGAAAATGACACAAAAATGTAAAAAAAAAAAACATATTTATACTAAAGAAACAAAACCGGCCGATTTTGTAAACCCGGTCCGATTTTCACGGGTTCACCGGTTTTTTGACCGGTTCTTTGTTCAAACGGTCTAATTACAAAACCGGCCCGGTTAGGGGACCGGTTCACCAGGTCAACCTGCCGAGCCGTGCCAAGTTTTAAAACACTGCAATAAAATAATAATTTCTCTAAAAAATACTGAAATCTCTTGTATTTTCACCTACTTTTTTTGGTGTACATGTGACTGGCTAGCCATAAATGACAGACAACAGGCCATTAATGACACCAAATATTCTATAGTCTATAACCAAAGTAATGAGCTCACCTGCCAGAGGCTTTTTTAGACATCTCCGACAACTATCACAAGCACCACTGGTCCACTATTGACAATTACCCATCTTAACAAGCTACATGGAAATTCACTTAAAACTCAACCAGACTTTTTTTTTTTTTTTCAGGGCTGTAAAATAAACTAAGCCACTTAAAACTCAGCTCATGACTTACTCACTCAAAGGCTCATTCAAGTTCTCTTTTTGCTGGTAAGGCTCACTCAAGTTCAACACAAACAAGCCAAGCTTGACCGCATTTTAAGGCTTGTTGTATTATAAAACTTCATTTGACCTTTGCTTGAAAAGCTCATAAGCATCAAATGCCATATGAAAGACCAAGCTGCTTTGTGATCAGCTCTTTTAGAGTTGGTTTGATCACACCAAGTTTAAGTTTTCTTTTGAAGCATGTTAAAATTTCCAAACCAGGTTTGAGTATCCCAATTACTCAGCATGGCTAAATATGATTTAAAACACTTCAAATATTTCAAAATGTGAAATATATAATAGACACTAATAGAGAGCTACTTATAGAATTTACAAGTTTTGAAGCCATAGTTCGAACAGTTTTTAGAGGAACAAGGGCATCGTCGGCACCAGAAATAACCAGAACTGGTAAGTCTTCAACTGCTTTTAGTAATGACTCTGCATTTTGTGGTGAGAGGACTGTCTCAAATGATAGTTTTCCTATCTCACAGAGGGCTTCATCCCAACCTTCTATACATAATGGGGCCTGATTTCATAGCAGAGATGTGGAACAGGTCAAATGGTCAGCATGTTTATAATGAATAATTGTGATCCAGATGTCGGAGGTAAAAAAATTATGGAAGATCACTATGCAAAATCAAGCAAACATGAGTAACCATGTGAGTTAAGCTTGCATTTCATTTTATACTCCGTAATTTTAGCCTAAGTACTGAGCATACATCCAAATATTTGAAGTTATTGCTTTGAATTGAGAGAAAAAAGCAAACCTCTTGAGCAAGCACAGGAAATTTGGTCAATGAGAAATAAAATGGTGTCCACCAAGATCTAAAAAGGAAAAACTCACACACCCAAATGGTTCATTTAACAACTGTATGTTTCCATCATCAACAACTGGAACACTTGCTACTTTCAAGCAGTAGCTGAGCCACTAAATTAGCTAGACCAAGCATGAATGCCCATCTTACTTCTAGTGACTGAAATCTTACTCTTGAGTATTTTGTGCAGTTGGTGACATGTTGTGTTAATATGTGATGTTGTAGAAAAAAAAATAGAATTTAGTTTTTTGGGTTTGGGCACTTTGAGGAATAAAGTGATATTTTTTTATGCTATCATTGTGTTTCTTTTGGTTATTACATACTTGGGTTATCAATATTTCGTGGTTGTAGTATCAAATGTGTGTTACTTCTTTCAGGGTTGTCATAGTTTGTTTATAAAAATTGTGTATACAAGTGAAATAATTAATACAAGGCAAGTATTAGCAAATTGATATTTTTTTACATTATCTTTCATCAAATTGATATGATTATGTACTATTTAACTAAATTTGAAATTATTTTGAAAGCGCAAAAAAAAAATTTATTTTGATTAAATATTGGTGAATTGTTTGTTCAACATAACATAGTTTTTTCAGACACAAATATTTGTTCGTTTTTTTTTTGTTTTCTTGCTGTGTCTGCCTTATTTTTTTTAAATTGTACAATGCCTTCAGGCACGGGTTATAGGAATTTTCATTGTTTAGTTGTTGAAAATGGAGTTTTGGAATTCAGTATGAGGTGTTCATCGGTGATGGCTTGTGATCTTAAGAACATGGTGCTTTTCACCTGGATACTTTCTCTTGGAAACCCATAAGAGAAACAAATTGGTGAGTCACAAATATAATCACACAACATCAATGTTCATATAGAAATGAATTTGGACTCATATTTTGTTTTTTGTTTTTTTGTAGCCACTGTTCTATTGTTGATGCATCATGAAGTTTGCCACTTTTTGCTTTGGTGAGTTTCTTTGATTGGAGCTTGCAGTCCCATTGCCTTGGATGTGTGCACTATATTTTAGATGTTTTTTTTCTAGCTATTGTTCAATTAGCTTTAATTATTTTGAATTATTATTCGGTACCTAGGTTCCATTGTTGTGAATGTTTGTTTTTGTTTCGTACGTGTGTGTATGCTATCAAAAATTTAATTTTTCATTTTGTTGGTTCTATTCTATTGGTTACTTCAAATAGGTTTTTATAGGGTTTTGATTAATTATAGAGATTGTATGTCAATTAGTATGAAATAGAGGTTTATTGTGTGTTAATTGATAGAGATTGTATGTCAAGTAATATGAATATGTGTATTTAACGAATATTTCTAATTTTTTGATTTACTCTGTCTTATATTTGCAGCCATCATAGTGTATTAACCAACACTGCAAACTCTGAACATTGATAAATGAAAGATCTCACAATTTTTGGTCGTGTGAGTTTAAACATCTTCTATTTTTTTTTTTTTTTTTTTCGGCACCACAAAATATTCATATATTTATTTCACGCATCTTTTTACAAATTGATGAAGACTTAGAGGAAACCGTAAAATAAGTTTCATATCACTCATATTCATAAAATTTGTGTTCATTTATCTGTTAAATGCATATTCATGTTTATGTTCAATTGCTCAAGAAAAATAACGTTGGTGTTGTGATCCGCGACGAACGCAAACTCAATTGTATCCTCATTTATGAGGTAGTATCATGACACATCAGTTTGTTTATAGATTATACTTTTTTTTTTCTAAATAATGATTTCACTTATTTATGTTTACTATCTAAAAGGCAAAGGAAAGAGCAGTCGTAACTGCAAATGCAAAGTGTAAAGGAATAAGAATATCAATCTCTTCTGATAAGGAAAAGGTAAGTATTTCGTGTCAAGTGGTATTACATTGCTAACATTTTAACAATGTTATTTTATTGATCAAACGTTTTATTTATGTTATTTCATCTATAGAATTGGGATGAAACAGTGCATGAGTTAAAAAGACTAAATGCAACCCATCTTTTTCGATGGGGTTGTTTAAATAAGGAAACTAAATTTATTTTTTATAGTTTATTTTAGATTTTCAAGTTTATAATTTTAAAATTTTTGTCGTGTACTAAATTTAACTGTTTTTGTAAATGCTAGATTGTTGTACATTATTCCAGTTGGAAGCTGCGGATTTGGATTGATACAATTACATTCAAGGCTGTGATGGAG